CTAAGGTTCCATGCTTTTGGTTTTATAGTTTTGCCGAAGTTTTTGTTATCACGATTCTGGAATCTACACTCATATCTTTTACATATGTTAGAGGATTGCAGGGCTACACAGCCAAGGAAAATCTTGACACTTTCTGCTAGGAACTTAAGAGTCCAAGTCAATCCTGGACTTCCTGGCAGGAGCCATTCAGGAACCCTGCCACGAAGACTCAGATAAAAAAAAACGTGAAAACCAAGTCTGGACACCAGCCAGTACCCTTCTAAGAAACACAGGAAATCAGCAGTTTTAATTACCTAAGCCTTTTGTTATTTTTTAGTAACGCTACAAATTACTTTTGTCCTTGAGCAAGGATTGTTAGAAAGCAAAAAAGCAAACATTCCAGAATGAACTTTTGACTAAAAGAACCAAATTTTATTATTGTTTTTTGCTTTCAAAGAGCAAATTAAACCAAAACATGACAGAAAATAATTCCACGGTTTTCAATTTTTTGATGTATAATTTTTAGCCCCATAGAAAAGCTTATGTTTTTATCATAAAGCTGTGTAAAACTCAAGCTTTAACTTTTTCAATAAACCTACAAAAGCGTTTTATTTGCAGAAAATTTGCCACTTGACTTGAGGGCTTTTCTGATTGAGAACACCCCAAATTGCGTTATTGTTCTGACCTTCGAACAAAGTGCGGAATAATTATGCTTGGATCGGTTAGAATCGGTTATTTATTCTGTCGATTTTCGAATTCTTAACTGAGCTTTTTTGAAGAAATCTTGTAAAAAATTTTATTGTCTGGAGCTCAAATTTAAAGAAATTGCACTTGCGATCATTTTTGGTAGAGCTAATGGGGTTTGAAATTATTGATTCGACCAACTGGAGATATTTAACGCGCAATATATTGCAATCTTGTGACCCGCGTAAGCAGCGAATTTTTGAGCTGAATTGAGGCAAGTCATTTGCGCTTAAAAATTGGATTAGACCTGCTAAACACATTCCCTTTTAGTTTACTTTAGCGGAGAAAAAGAAAAAAAAACATGATTTAAAAAAAAAAAAAATTCGTCTTTTTTTCAACCACAGAATTTTTGATTTAAGTGTATTCGGAAACATTCGGGAGTTTGCCGTGATATACGAGCAGTCTTGTTTTGTTTTGTTTTCAAACAAGTTCGTAAATTTTTGCAAATTTCAAAAAAGTTTAACACTTTCCGAGCTCAGGATTCAACGGAAAAACCAAAAGTTAAGATGATTCATCGAATCTATCTAGACCCACAGAAAAACTTATGTTTTCTATTGTAAATCTGTTCAAACTTCAGGCCTTAATTTCCATAGCAATTCTACAAATGCTGTTTTGGGCAGAGCTCTAGCCACTTAGCCAGTGCGCTTTGGTTACATCAGAGTGTTTTTTGTTCTTTTTCTGTACGTTGATCATCACAAAACAAAATCCACGCTTGTAAAGCCAAATTAATAACCTTCGCAATTTTAAAATTTCTATTCGCACAACAATTATTCATTGTAGTAGTACACTTGTTTTCGTCTTTTTGGTATATTTCTTTTTATATACAAAAATGATATTGGAATTCCCCAACAAATGTTCTTTTTATAGCCAAAAACTCGTAGCTTTGAAGCAAATCTTTCGAATGCATATTCATAAAAATTGCAGAAAGATGAATGAAAGATCCAGAAATTGATAACTAACATGGTGTATGAAAGCAAAATGCGAGGAGTTTTTGGATAATAAGATAATGTAGAAATAGTTTATTCCTGCAAGATGTTGTCTAGCTATTGCATTCTTAGTACCTTTAGCTTCTTAGTACTTTCGCAGTATGCAGCATCCTTATTGACATAAAATAAAAACCCGCATCCACTAAAAAAAACCCGAAGGCTTATGCAATCGACGAAATGCTTATTTTGACTATTCTATCTAATCATGATAATCAAAATTAGCTGTTTCAAGGATTTTTATTACCCGGGTTGACAAAAATGCTTATCATACAATTCTCATATATGGAAAAAACGCTGATCATGCTCTTTCATTTAATTTCAAAGAGCAAAAGTAAGTTTATGAAAACAGCAAAATAAGAATTTTTCCATACTCTGAAATTTTATAACAAGCACTTCATTACGAGGCCAAACTATGCATTTTATGCATTGTAAGCGGATTCCGCAACAGGGACGTTCCCTGTGTTCTTCTTTTGCTCGTTCATTCACTTTGATCGTTCTGACAAAATTTACTATGTTTAAAGACTTGTCTCTGGAATTCAGGAACATACAGACACAAAATTGTGCGCCTATCCAGTGCACAGTATGGCCTCGTAGTGTTTTTCCATACTCTGGAATTAAAGTTTGAGCTTTTTAATCAATCTTTTTATCCCCAAAATTTAAAAAAGCATGATAAGCATTTTTCCGTTCTATGAAATTGTATGACAAGCATTTCATCCACAAATGATTTAAAATATTTGTTTTGATATTTTGTGTTTCGTCCGAAACACTAATCAAGTATTTTTGTCATGAGAAAATCTAGAGTGTAACTGGCAGTCACTACGCAGATAAACTGCATTTGGTAATTTTAGCCTTGTAAGTTAATTTTAACAGTTTCACAAGGAATTAAATACCAAAAATGTAACTTTTTGTATGTGGCTAAATAATTGTTAGTTTGAAAATTTTTTTGGTGGATGAGAAAAAAGGCCTGTTTTTCTTACAAATTTGATTTTAAATTAGCAAATGAAACAAAAACATAATAATCGCGTTCACAAAAAAAAACACTTTTTTGTGATTTTTGGTTTTTTAGGTGAAAAACTCATCTTGGATTACGTTATAAACACAAAAAATCAAAATTTGCATGCAAAATTTTTTTTTCATAAAATATATTGAGCAAAAAGCTTCAAAAGAGGCAAATAGACCAGAAATTTCTAAAACACATTTTAAATTTTGTATGAGTTTTGTATGACAGGCTTTTTCCCATAAACTTCATTTATGAAACTGTTGAATAAGCTTTTTTTCTATGGACGTCAACCCGGGAAATAAAATCAGGATATTTTCCAAGATAATAGAATCTCTTCTAGTCCGTTTTAGTTGAGTTTAGTGCATACAGAAAAATTTTTATATCGATTATAATAAATTTAGTTAAAAAGTTCTAACAGTGGATAAAAATTATAAGCAATCATGAAAAAAACAATGTGCTGATATTTTCCTTAATACAAAACCTATAAATGCGTTCATTGAAACAACCATTATTGCCAAAAAAATGAAAAAGTAAGAAAAACATAAACTTGAACTGGTTTTAAAACTGCTATGACATTTTTTTTAATTTTCCAAATATTTCAGCATCTATGAAAATCATACAATGCAAGCAAGACAGATGTAAGGTTGAAAATTGAAATGGCAAGCAAAAAGAATTATAGTCGATTATAAACTTTTGAAATTGATTTTTTAATAAAAAATATGATTGAAATTGTGATAAAAGTGATGATTGAATAAGAAACAGATTGAAAACTAAGAGAATATAATTGATTTATAATTATAATTGATTCTATTTTTTGAATTTTTTCTATATTTTTAATTTATTGAATCTCTCAGATGGCATAAAAGTTTCCGTCAAAAGTACTTAGTTCAGTTCAGTAGTCGAAGTTTGACCGAATAAAAAATCACCCAAGCAGAAAAATTCCGCTCATTCTTCGAAAGTGGAACAGATAGGGCTTTGATGTGACAAATCACTCGATCCTTATTGATGATTGTTTGTGGTACTGATTTTGTTTGGAAAAAAATTGGGAAAAATCATATGCCCCAATTTTTCCTGTATTTCATATTTCCAACTGATTTGTTATATTTTGTCTTTGAAGCAAGAAAAATTTTGAGTAGCGTTTACAACATCAATATTCAGCAAAAATCAAGGCAAACGAAAGATGAGTCGGATTATTCAAAATTCTAAAAAAACATCGGTTTTTGTTTAAGGCTTCAAGAAAACCCAAATTTAATTATTGTTCCTCGGCCAACAACCATGTGTTCGAAAGAAGTTCAATTGGGGAGCATACGAAAAAATGCTCTTTCCCATTTTAGCCATCAAATTTGTTTCTATTGGTTAATTTTTCATGTCTATTATTGTTTACAGTGTCTGATTTTTCTACTACTGAAATAAGCACATTTTTTGCAAATCACATGCAAGTGAAATGCTTTAAAATCATTTTTTGCTCTGGTTTTGCACCGCAATTTTTCAAGAAACAAAGAAAACTCTAACTTTATTGAGCGACGAGGATTTTGTACCACTTACCATAGCGTGTGAAGGAATGGTTTTTGAAAATAACAATCAAAATTTTCATGTTGTTTAAAAAAATCGTCAATTTTTATGAGCGGACACCACTTCAACGAGCAGTTGAAGATAGTTGAAACATTCAGGCCTTTGTCCTGATACGAGAAGTCTTGTTTACAGTTAAGGGAAGATAAAAGGACTTTGTAAATAATATTCCCCCGCACGCCTTATAATGTACAACAGATATATTTATCTTCTTATATTGTAGCAATTACGGAAATAGTTTGCTTCAGCCATAATTTGACACAATTTCTAAGACGGTTTAAATCTCCGCTTCCGCGGTACTAGCGCAAAATCTAGCGAGCATTAATTGTCCCGAATCGGCCACATTGGCAATTTTCAACCCTCATAACTTGATACCAGAAATGATCACATGTAAAACATAACTTTAAGTAAGCTTAGGAAAACAATAGCTTTTGGATGAATAAAAAAATAGATTCAAAAATGAGTAATTTTATAATCAACATCTGTCTGGAGAAAAAACCACCCCAAGCACAATATTTGCGTCACTTTCTTCTAGAGTCGAAATGAAAAAATTGAGTTACGGATGTTCAGACCTAAGTTATCTTTGATGTGATGGGGTATAATTTTGACTTAATCCAAAAAAACTGTATTAATTTTGTTTGTTGCAATTAGTTTTTTTTCAATATAGTTCATTAAGCTCAAAATTATTACTGACTAAAAATTTCAAGCAAATCAAACGCGCATATTGCATTTACACTAAATTATTTAAAGTCTTGCTACTTCTACTGTATTCTGGCATAGAGAAAATTCTTGGAAAGTTGTCAACCAAATTGTTCACGGCCTTAATTTGACCCGGGGTCCATTTAACTCCATTTCTGGATGGGTTAGGTGAGTCCAAAACGCCCTCCAAAACTCCCTGTATATAATCTTCATTGCAGTCTAGATCGAGAACTGTACAGAAGTTAGTGACGTGTTTTCGAGGGTTTGCAATCAGGTCTTCCAGTTGCACTTGGATATATTTAAAATTAGGATAAGTTCGCATCAACAAATCACTAAAACGAACAAACAATTTAAAGCAAAACAGTTACCATTTTTGAAAGTGGAGGTCATACTCCGAAAAGGCAATGGAACTTTTCTACTTCAAGTCAAGTGGAAAAAAAGAATATTTTAAATCCTTTTGTCACAATGAAAAAGGTCAATATAGATAATTTTGGTTTCTGTTAATTGCAACGTATCTCTATGAAAGTCTGTACAGCCTATCTATGGTTAGTTAGTTTCTATCCTTTCGTCAAAATCCAGAATCAGTTTAAAAAAAACAGAAATTAGGCTAATCTACCTTATAAAGTTGATCGCGATATTTATCATAAATTATCTATTGTTTTCAAAAAGGGAAATATTTGATTACTTACTAAAACTAAAATTATCCAAAAAATCTTGTCTTTGAACACCGAAAAGGCCAGTTAGCTGCCTATTTTTTTTACGATTCGCACTGCACTATTTAATGTTGTTGTTTTAAGATGCCAAATAGTGATAGTGAACTTTCACGGGCTGACCTTAATTTGGCATGACTTGCGATCTCTCTGATGGCCTTGTCTACATCCCGGCTATGAGCGATGTTCATTGTCCCGTTAGCCATGGAGATCCGAATAAAGTCATAGCAAGATCCTTAAAAGGCGAAAAAACCGGATGTACTACGAAGACTACGAATAATTAAGACACGAGTATTTGCAAAAAAAATCAACATCGAAAATAGCTTCTTTAAAAGTCTTTAGCAATCTGGCGAAAACAAACCGTATAACAAAACTGATCGTATATCAAGGCGAAGCCTTGATTATTTTTCGTCTTTTTTTTTGTATATGCACCCCACTCGCTAATAAAAGCCACAATGAGATTTATTTAGCGTCTTGTATCCTATTGAATATTACCACCTTATTTCAATTACACGTGTTATAAGAACGAAATATATCGCGAGTTAATTATTCCAAATTCGCCGAATTAGAAATTTTCAAACGCCCACAACTTTACGAACAAGACTGCTTTTAGATTGGTTCAAAGCTCTGAAAGCTCTAATTCGCCATGCATAAATATTTTTGTTATGCTTTCAGCGTTTTAAATAATATCATCAAATCGAGCCCAATCTAGTCCGGAGCATGACCATTTTGGCAGTTTTCAAACTCTCAGAGTTTTTCAAAAATTGATTGGAGGTTAAAATATCTTTTTTCATTTGATTTCAGTGAGTCGATATCTTCAATGGGGCGTAGATTTTTTTGTTAAAAACTATTGTTTTGATTGCTGTAAGTTGATTGAATAAAGTAACCACCCCAAGCGTGAATATTTGCACTTTCTTTGAAAGTCGGAATAGCAAAACAACTCGTATCAGGGCGCAGCCCTGCATAATCCGACTGCGTTTTAAGGTATCTGAAATAGTCTTCCCTTCAAAAAAACTGTAATTTTTTTTTTGCAAATCATCCCTCCACAAATTTTTGCACATAGAAAAGTATCAAATATACCAAAGAGCATGACTCAAATCAAGTTGAAACAGTTTCATGACGGATCAAACCTTCGCTTACGCGTTGTTAGTTCGAAATACATCGCCAGTTAAATGTCACTAATTATCCAATTTGGCAATCTTTAAACCCCCATAATTTTACGAAAAAACTACAGAAGAAGTATTTTGAAGAAATTGAGCTCAGGAGAAATTGAGCTCAGGACCACAGAAGAAATTGAGCTCAGGACCACGATGACTTTTGAATGGCATTAAAAGAATATATTAAAGAATGCTATTTAAAAAGTTGAAATTTGTCTTGTGGAACCTGATCTAAACTATATATTATGATTGGATAAATTAAATGTTTTACCAATGTAAAGTATTTAATATTAACCAATCATGATCCATCTAACTAACAACCCACTTATTTGTAAGTGCTGAAGTTACTTGTAATTTCAGCACCAGAGAGATTTGAATTTAACTTAGAAATTAGTTGGACTCTCCCGAGCACTTCAGCAGCCGCAATAAACCAGTATACCCTAGATCTATTGAGCCTAGCAGAGACTAGTTAAACAACCTGAGACTAGATAGTATAAGAGTAAGATTAGGATCGGTATTAGACTAAGAAGTTGCACGAATCTATCCGGCCGAAAATAAGATAGCGTGACGAGCAGACGGTGTACCCTATCCGAAATTACTCTATGAGTTATACACTCCAGACATAACTCATCTGGTGCGACCATAAGTCTCGAACAAGACCTTACTAGATTAGAATTAACCAAAAATAGATTAGAAATTAGACAAAAACATTTACAAAATGTTATACGACAATAATTTAATTGAAATGTCTCTCCGACTCAATAGATCAGAGCCAATATTCCGAACCATAATAGAACTACCCGGAATTGGAAGAAGACATCGAACCAAAGACGACATACGACAAAGTAGAAACTTGCCGTATAGTTATATGATAGTTCGGCAAAAGCCAGAACAAACTTTTATATTTCGAATACTACTTGCAATGAATTTAGATTTCCATTTGCAAACATAAAACCTTGAAGTTACTCTTCAAAATCATTTCAGGCGCTAAACAAAATTAATATTATACAATAACGATTGATAAAAAGATCTAAGATCGTTTTTCTAAAACTCTGCAGTAATATACAAAACATGTTTGAAAAATATTTATTGGAAAATAAAAATAAAAATTAGTAGCATGACAATAAATGGTTAGTAATCATAAATCATCCTGTTGTTCCAGCTTCATCACCTAAAACATAACAGCAATCATCAACTCACTAATATCATCAAAACACTAAATCTTTCCTTTACACAAATTTAAAACTTTATTAAAATTTAAAGTCACTTAATTTTAAAACCAGATCATCAAGGCTTATCCTTGGATCTTAAATCATTTTCTACTTAATTAAATTTTAAATTTGATCATCAAGGCTTATCCTTGGATCAAACAGAACAATTTTGTTCTCCCCCACCCACTTAATTAGTGTCTAACGACCTCAAACGTCGATTCACTACCCAACCCTTTCTAAAGACCCAAGACTAATAGAAATTTTTAAACAAAACTAATCATTCAAATTAGGATAAACAGTGAAGAACTTCGGTTATTCATCCTTCACTTGACCCCCCCTCTTACCAGACCCAGGATAAATCTTAGACTTAGTAAGTTTAAAATAGTACCTAACGAACTACTCGCGTTCTAATTATACCTGAACCTTGTGGATTGATTTACTATTCTCCAACCCTTGAACACAATCACTACCCCTAAGTAAGATTAAGTAAGTTAACACCTTAGCTTATACTAGTCACGAGAAAGTAAAAATCATTCTTCGGAATCGATATACTTTTCTCTCCAACCCTGAACAAATAGACCCAGGTTAAGCTAACCAAAAAATCGTAAGAACTAACAGTTTAGGAAAATAGAAATCATTTAACAACCTTTTGCATCCGTCATTCTAAACCTTATGTCATTTAAAAACCTAGGAAATAAACAAACAATCATTTTACACAATTGTGAAATAGATAACAAAAAATACGACCTTGTAATCACACCTCATACACAAACAGTTGGATACATTCGAACAAAACGACAAACACTAAAGAGGAAAATAATAACTAAACAAAGACAAATAACACGAAAAAGATTTTCAAAAAATCGAAACGCATTTTCAGAATCAGAAACCAACAGTTTAGACGAACTTTACAAACTAAAAGAATCAATAGATAAAAATTACCCACTTCACGATCAATTATATTTCTCTGACTCAGAAACAACTTCAAATTCATCACAAAGAGGAAAAAGAAGAATAAAAAAGCAGTACAAACACAAACCAGTACATCTATACAATTGGAATCAACCAATTCGACACATTAATAATTACATATTAACAGTCATCGAACGAAAAAATGAGCTCAACGCACACCCCAGGTGACGAAACTCCAGATGATGATGAAATCTTTCCCTTTATAGTAGACGCAGATACTGATAGAGGACAACACATATTTTGTCAAAATTTACTCGTAAATTTATTTGAACCCGGAATCAGTCCATGTAAAACAGAGTTCCCCGATGTAAAAATCAAAAGACAAATCATAGATCACTATCTAAAAGATATATGCAACATAACACAACAGTATGGAATCTACTCTATAGAATTCACCTCACCAAACCATAATAATAGAACATATACCATACAAACAGACGATCTTGATTTAGAATTTTCAAAAGTTTTTTCAGAATATATAAAAAGCATCCAATACCATAACTCACAAAGAGCAAACTCCATTTTCACCAATGAAGTTTTCGCAATAATATATAGTTATATTTCGATATTAGAAAATGAACTCCCATTAACAAATGTCTCACCGACAGAAACATCTAAACATTTAAGAGTGCGACATGAAATCACACTACTCTCTAGTTATTTAAACATCATTAAAGAAAATTTCACGAAAGACGACGTTTCACAACATACCAAACACGATCTACAAAAAATTTTGGCATGGTTCATAATAGATTATTTCACACATAATATTGATTTAATTGCACAAGCAAGAAAAAATTTTAGACCCCAAAATTCGAACGATGATACCGCTATCACAGAACAATCAGATTATGTTTGGGACCCCGAATGGTCTCATCCCGCATTTATAAGCTTTCCACAATCAATCTCAAGTCAAGCAATAGGTACAATATCTTACATAAGAGATTATGTAAGAGTAATACCATTAACAATTGATGCAACACCATTAAACTATAATACATTTTTACCCGATACACAAAATAATAGTTTAAACTCTACAGTCATACACAACGAAAACCTCAATGGAACTAGGAATCTTACTCAACAAGATATCCAGACACCATCACACTTCATAAATGAAGAAATTGTACACACAACAACTACACAACAAAGTATTTCACCAATACGCCCAAATTTAACAACACCAAGAAATACAAATCCTTCACAAACACAGGTAACCTTACAATCAACCGTTAAACCTTCGGTTGCCCCTAAATATTCACAAATGGATTACCAAACATACAGACCCATGACAATACCATCAAAAACACGCAAAACATTCACTAGAAACAACTTTGCAGACCATAATTATAATTATACACATCCGTCAAAAACAAATTATCAACCACAAAGGAATTTTAATCAATATACAAAACCTCGAAACTGGGATAACCCAACGGCCCAATATAATTCCAAAAATTTTCAACCAAATCCTCCACAGGATCGCAGTGAAAATTACCCATTTTTTCAACAAAATAAAAATAAAAAACAAACATCTTATCAAATGGATTATTTATCCTCAGATGATGATTTTTTACAGCCAGATATATTTGCACAAAATACTCAAGAATATCGTAGACAAGGAATACAGAGAACACGTACAAATCATAGAAATTTTTCTCCACAACCAATAGATGCACAACATCAACAACCAATTCAACAACAAAATCTAATTAATACGCAATCTTTTCAACCAATTCAACAACAAAATCCAATGACTGCACACTCCTATCAACCATCACAAATGCAAAATGAAATACCACTACCATATTATCTCCAACAACATGAAATAACAAGAAACCAACTTTCAAATTTTTCTCAAATGCCAAATGCAGCAGAATCATTACAAATGACAA